GTGTGACCGCAACTGGGGCAATCGAAACAATTGCCACAGCGATGTTTACGCATTTTAGCTTCAGCACTCGCCATATTCTCCAGGCAGTTCGGACAATAGTGAGAATCCACCTAAATGAGAAAAAGTAACGTGGGGTGATTCACTAGTGAATTCCGCAGCATGTGTAATAATTATGTGGCAGGTGGGGTATTCCTTGGAAGTTCATAACGAGGAGTCCATACATCGCTACTATGATTCCGTGTTATGTGGATCGTAGGCTATTAGACTTACCGACTGTACAACCTAGTGAGCATCTGATGAGGAACAGATAATAAGTATTATTTAAACTAAATGAAAGCTCCAGGGAGCGGCTTGAACCACTCAGTTATTTTTTATTACACAGTATGAATTACAGCGAAAGGGGAAATACCCACAGACAAAAAGCATACTGTAAAAGAAAGAGTAAGGGAAAATTTACGTAAGCTCCAGTTCCTTTTAAACAGTGTAAAGCTGTAAGTTGTGCATTTCACAAACGTTTGAATCCAGACTATATGCCAAACAAAGCATAGCACATAATTCTCCATAAAAATAGCGGTTGCAAGTTGGGGGAAAGATAAAAAGTGGGAGGGCATTCCACAACTACCGTGCTGCACGCCTAAAATGTTCAGTCTTCCGCCGCTGGCGCCGTTCGCCCACCCTTGTCTCCCAACATCGCTCCGTGAAACCTAGGAACAGATGCTCGATGACCATTCAAAGAACCAAAGAACGCTTTGTTCGCCGCAAAGCCGAAAACTTGGTCTCGTCCGCCACCGGTAGCCGAACATTTTTGTCCCTTCACAGAATGGATGAGATAGAACTCCATCAACTCGGACGGAGGTGGTTCGCTTACTGAGGAAACTTGATATCCACGCTACGAGCGCCGGAGGGAACCCGAAAATGGGTAGTTTCGCCAGTAGACCTTCGTGCCAAACTCGGTCGAAGGCCATTGAGATGTCAAGCGAGACCAAAGGTGTTTCTCCGTGGTTACCGAGTGGAGCTGACCGAGATTGAGACAAGAGCCAGCAGGTCACCGGTGAAACGACGCTGTCGAAATTCATACTGGCGGTCGCTCAGTGGTCCTTCACGTTCAATGAACGTGCGTAGCTGGTTCGAGATGACAGTTTCAAATACTTCGAAAGAACAGATGTGAGGGAAAGGGGTTGTTAATTGTTGGGGTTATAAGGGTCGCCGCGTTTGGGAATGGGAAACATCACGGCGTGTTTCCACGGGGGTTGAAAAGGTAGAAAGTTGGAGGCAAAGATTGAAACGACGACGTAAAATAGGAACCAGCTCGTGAGCACATTTTGAGGACGATGGGTGGAATACCGTTCAAACCAGGTGATTTGTTTGCGTTCAGAGAGCACATTGTTTAACGAATTTTCCTAGAAAAATGTTGCTAGTGAAAAAGGAAGAAGGTGGAGGTGTAGAAAATGGGATAAGGTGGAATTGGCGGCAAACGGGGACTTAAATACCTCGGCTTTCTCGTGTGGTTGACGTACAAGATCACAAGAGGAATTACAGATAGAGGGGAAGTTGGAAGGGTAGAAATTACGGGAAATTGCTTTGGGAAGGGACAAAAATGTTCGGCTACCGGTGGCGGACGAAACCAAGTTTTCGGTTTTGTGGCGAACGAAGCGTTCGTAGGTTCTCCGAATGTTTGTCAAGCATCTGTTCCTAGATTGCGCAAAGCAATGGCGTTAGTCGGAAGGATGAATGTGTCAGACGTATAGCACGATCACGATCACTAGGGGGGGTCTGGCTTTGCCGGGTTGAGAAAAGTGAGGAACAGAAATATGCATACCTGGAAGAACAATGTCGGTGAAGTTGGAAACAGTTTTGGAAACGTCCGAAGAGAAACAACAGTCTTTCCAGGGATAAGATGCTAGAAAATAAAACACCGTTCCAGGTGGCTGAGTTGTAGCACCAGAATGTGTCTCAGTGAGGATGGCGTTTCGGGGCTGGTAAATTTATTAGAACAAGAAACAATACGGTGATCCAGTGGACCAAGCGGACAGAGTACAAATACCTGAGAATTTGGCAGTTCGAGCTGGTAGCAAACAAATGTTTAGAGTTCGAAGATAAGAATTAATAATGAAGGAGTCGCCCCTATTGCAGGAACGATATATAACATAAAAGTAAGGAAATCGGAGATTAAGCCACATCAGCCGAAATCCACAATTATGAAAGTAAAGCTTTGGGATTCTCGAGGCGGCGACTAGTTGGTGAGTAAGGACGCAGACACCAACTTTGGATAAAAGGGAGTGGAATATGTGGATGGGTACTTATCTGACGACGGGGAGGTTTGTGCCTCGGTCAAAAAGGACGATGAAATAATTGACATATTGGTGGGCACATCAAAGTTGCGGTTCATTCCGCGAATGCTAGTGAGGGTGAGGAATGCGTATTTCCATTGCGAGTGCGTCAGGCGAGCGAGAGCACGTGATATGTTTAGGTCAACGATCAGTGTGTGCATAGTTTGCTTGAACAGGTTCCCACACCCCGTTTTTTGAATGGTGGCAGAATCGTTAGAAGCAGATTTTAAATTGCCGTTTTGGGTTTACTGTGGGCGTCGACTTTCGTGTACTTTTCCGCGGTCATGCATTGGACATAGAAACGGAATCTCAGCTGTTCCTAATCAGTGCCTACGTATAAAAGTCCCTAACAGTTTCAGTTTCAGTTTTACAACCATTAACCATGCACTTTCGTGCACG